TATATATATATATATATATATATCTATATATATATATATCTATATATCTGTGTGTGTTTGTATGACTCTTTTTCTTCTTGTCTCTCCAGTAAATGACTTCAGGAGTGCTTCCCTGTCCCTCCTGGCCTCTCATTATAAGCATGCTCAGCAGGATGGCGAGGTAGGAAGAGTGGAGTTCCTCCCAGTCAACTGGCACAGCGCTCTACACGGGGATGCCACTGGTGTGGACGAGTAAGCATGGAGAGAGACAGAGAGCGAACAAAACAAGATCCCGCTTTTGTGCAATACTACGTAGTATGTCTCCAGTACTTGCAGAACATTGTCTAACTCTGTCTTCCCTCCCTTTCCCTCTACTCCAGGGACATCCAGAGGATCACTCTACCCAGCATCAGCAGGCTGAGACATTTCACCAACGACACCCTGCTGGACCTGTTTTTCTACAACAGCCCCACATACTGCCAGACCATAGTGAACACAGTGGCCTCAGAGATCAACACGCTCCACACCCTCTTTAAACAGAGACACTCAGAGTTCAATGGGGCTGTTTCAGTAGTGGGCCATAGCCTGGGTAAGACATGTGCAAACATGTGAAACACACACAGTCACAAGTCATCAATATGCTGACTTTAAACCTTTTCCCTTCTCATCTCTCGTTCCTCAGGTTCGCTGATCCTGTTTGATCTGCTCACCAATCAGAGGACTGGATCAGAAGCCAGAGAGGGTGTACGATGACATTCATAGTAAAAGATAACACCAGTGTACAGATAGATTTTCTTCATGTAGATAATAAAAGCTGCTTTCCTTTCTCCTCTTTCTCCCTCCCTGTGCTTTAGCTGCCCTCTGGTGAGCATTTACATCTGAACTGTGACACACTGCAGCAGACTCTGACCAGACTGGGCCTACAGCAGTACCTGGATACCCTTCAGGCAGAAAACCTAGACATGGAGTCACTGGTAATGCACATACACACACATAATGGAAATGCAATTTTAAGAGTAATCAGGGTCTGAAATTTAGTTTTTACTCACGGCCACTCAATTTCTTTGTCTGCCACTTGTGAAATCTATGTAAATCGCTTTAGAATAGTAAACACTGAGTCAGTGGTACCAGACTGAAGAAAGATGTAATATTTCATGTAACCTTAATCCCCGACTATTTTAAACTCAGGAATTGCTTTAAAATAATATTTTTCTGCCAAGGTGGTAGGTAATTTAATTACAAGTGTATTACATTGTAAAACATGTATCGATCTTCTCTTTTAGGCTCTTTGCCAAGACGGTGATCTCAAAGATTTAGGAATTCCTCTGGGACCTCGGAAGAAGATCCTGAGCTACGTCAGGAAGAAATGGCTTTCACAGGTCAGACAGCCTGAAACTATACTGAGTTTTTGTTTGTTTTGGATCACATGACCATTGCAATGCCCTTTTTAAAATATGTTTCTTGGGTCTGGACTTCGTCTGGATAACATTTAGTTGGATAGTTTCTTTGCTTGGCATTAATATGCGCTCACTGTCCAGATCGAGGCAACACAATCATTTGCAAAACAATTCAGATGACTCCATACTTTTTCCCATGTGAATGTGTATAAACAATCATTGATGTGTGTTGTTTGACTGATGGCATGTTTTTATATGTATTGTGTTTCAATGTAGGATAAAACTATCTTAGGGATCTGGTTTACTGTCGGTGAGAAACAGATTGATGTGGCTGATTTCCTTTATGGCCAGCTCCTCTTTTGCTTGGGGGATCGCTCTCCAAATGATCCAAATGAGTAACCACATAAAGTATCTACTGTTCAGACAACTTTTGAATTACTTATTATATTTCTCAATCTAAATAGGATTTTAAGACGGGGGCAGTACATCTGCCGGAAGGGTTGCAAGTTCCACCTCCATTGAACAGCGACCACGATGGTAACCAGTCTTCAGGATTCCCGATGCAGCAGTCCCAGTTCCACAGGGCGCAGTCTGTCACCAGCGCTGTAGACTACGAGTACTTTGACGTTGGCATCGGACAGGTACCACACACACACACACACACACACACACACACACACACACACA